CATGATGATTACATGTAACACTTTCTGGCAAGGTTTCAAATGCCTTCACTCATCATTACTAGTTTGGCAAGTGCCAATCACACCAAACAAATAAAACAAGATTTTCAACATCCACAGGTACCCAAATGCCACTAGCCGATGGTGCGGATTGTTTTTGTTTGCCTTGTTTCCTACTCTGGCTTCCTGCGCTTCAATGACCAAGCTAACAACGGCAACAAGGACCATCACTCACAATCACTGGTCAATGCGCCTCACAAGGTCAAAGTCTCACCAGCTCTTAATGTGTTTTTTTTTATCCAAGCACACAGCACACACACTAAACCTCTCAGTGTTTGCTTGTATGAGATTTCATATCTACTTGTCATTGAAATTTTACAGACAAAATCCAGCTTCTCCTGTCAATTACCAACCAATATCCCCTTAGAACATTTCATCTAGGTTACCCAGTGCACCATGAAGGTGTTTCTTATCCTCTTCTGTCAGCTCACAGCTGTAGAGCTCCAGGTCCCGCAGGGCCTTTGCATGTTTCAAAGGCAAGCACCATGAAGTGGCTGTACCAGCCAGGTCTGCATTATCAGAAACAACCAATGTAACCAAGTTGGGCAGCTCCTCGAGTGATTTAGCAACATGTACCATGTCCTGTCCATTCAATGAGCAGCTACTCAAGTCCAGCTCCTGCAGGGGTTTGAGCTCCTTCAGATACATTCCCCATGATGCTGCTGTACCACCAAGGTTATTACCAGAAACATCTAATGAAACCAAATTGGGTAGATCCCTGAGTGCCTCAGCAGCATGTACCATGTCCTGTCCATTCAATGAGCAGCCCCTCAAGTCCAGCCTCTGCAGGGGCTCGAGGTCCTTCAAGTGCATTCCCCATGATGCTGCTGTACCACGAAGGTTATTACAAGAAACATCCAATCCAGCGAAATTGGGTAGATCCTTGAGTGACTCAGCAACATGTACCATGTCCTGTCCATTCAATGAGCAGTTCCTCAAGTTCAGCCTCTGCAGGGCTTTGAGCTCCTTCAGATGCATTCCCCATGATGCTGCTGTACCACCAAGGTTATTACAAGAAACATCCAATCCAGCAAAATTGGGTAGATCCTTGAGTGACTCAGCAACATGTATCATGTCCTGTCCATTCAATGAGCAGCTACTCAAGTACAGTCTCTGCAGGGGCTTGAGCTCCTTTAAATGCATTCCCCATAATGCTGCTGTATCATCCAGATTGTGATTTAAGAGATCCAATGACACCAATTTGGCTAGATCACAGAGAGACTTCATGACAGGTGCTACCATTTCACTAGTTAAGCTATCAATGAATTCTGCCTCATTCAGGCTTTTCATTGCACTCACAGCAACGGCCAAATCTGTGGCAGACCTTCTCCACCTGCAGTTCAAAATCCTTAGTATTTTTACTTTATTAAGGTAAGCACTGCCTCTGTCCTCTGCAACACATCTCAGAAAGTATGTCACTGAAAGCAATGTATCAACATCAAGATCACAAAGATTGATGCTATCACATAAGACTGCTAGTATGAACTTCTCAGGTGGTAGGTACTTACACTGACTTTCCAAGTAACAGTGAAGTGCCAACTGACCCTCCCTATCCTCAACTGACAAACGATTCTTACACTTCTCCAGAAACACATTCAGTATCTCAAATGTACATGCCTCATTTCCTCCACAACAAAAGCACAGAAGATATTCAAAATCCACTGGGCTTTTTGACACAATTTCACTCAGAATCTTCTGAAATTCTTGTCTGTCT